AGGACAACACAGTCTGTCCTCAACACAACACTGTGAGGGGGGGTTTAACTGTTGAGGGCTTTATGAAACTTTATTGATCTCTGCCAGGAAATTAGGCCACAGCCTCGAACCGATGCAGCAGATAAAACAGAGGACGAATACAAACAGATCAGAGCTCAAACGTCTGCCAACACCGAGCACTTCTCATTATTTAAACATGGTGGCGTTAGCGGTAAAATATTCACTTTGGTTGCAATTTAAAAAAAAAGGTTTTCCTCTCTGCTCGTGTTTAACTGGAGGAGAACAACATGCAACGATGTGACAGCAGTTCAGCAGGGAGCTGCATGTATATGAGAGAGACAGTAGAGCTGACAGTGGGAGGATGGAGGAGAGGGAATTTAAACAAACAGATGAGAGAGTGAGCAGCGTCTCTCCTCCAAACAACAACAACTCTCTCATTTTTTCTCTGTGTGGTGATCGGCGCTCCGACTGGGACTTCCTGCTTCACAACACTGTCGGACTGTTTCTCAAAGCTGCTTGGTCCAAAATATCTTGTTTGTTATGTGTTATCGTGGAATATGTTGGAATATCTTCACCTTTTTTTGCAAATGATAATTAAAGTCTTGAAGCACCTTTGAACATAAAGCAGGAAGTATAGTTTCCAGGTCCAGGTACGCTAGGGTCCGCATGGCGTAGACAGTCCGCACCGTCCGCAGACAAAACTATAAACAGAGCTACTGCGCAGCCGTGGTGTCTGTCGCTGTCCGTGTCTGTTTGTAAGTATATTCAGACCTTCAGGGCGGACCCCCTTTGGGACTGAATGATCCACAGTCCTGTATCCAAACAGGGATACCCTCTTGAAGGTGTGTCTTTAGATGACCTCCCTGATGCTCCCTGTTTACTGTTTACTGTCGTTGTCGGAAGCCGGCATCCATCTATCCTGAAGCCCATTGGACGTTATTACAACCCGCTTGTAGTTTCACCGCTTGGCAGTTCTTTAAGATATTCGCCTGATTAACAGGGTCACTCCTTAAACCGACTTACTGGCGAGAAGCGGGATGCAAACGCCACAGGATTGGCAGATTTTATTCCTCAGTGGACTTTACATAAAGGCTGCTGGTGTTTAGAGAGTTTTTCCAGAGCGAGCGAGGCGGAGGCTACGTGGTTTTATAATCCCGAGCTGTGAACTGAAGGATCGGACAGTGTTTCTCTTCAGCCTCGCTCTCTTGTCTTAAAAAACAAACACCGAACAGGACGTGACGTTACCTGCGGTTGTGGCTTTAGCAGCTGGCAGCCGAAAGCTCCAACGAGAAGCCACACCAGACGATTCTCTCTGCTGCTCTTTATCCAAGTTGGGGAAGTTAGCCAGACATGCATTTGCCAAACCAGCCATTTAGTCTTGATCCATGAAGCCTCTTCTCTCAACAAGCTGTTGGAAAAAGCTTTAGATAAAAGCCTCTTGTGGCCCACAGGCCAAAAGAAATCACCCATTTCTCTCCAGCTGAAGGTGTTTTCTGCAGTCCAACCAAAGGAGGTAACAAATTGTTAGTTTGATCTGCGCTGAATAATTAATGAGTAATTACACAGTTTTCCTGTACAATAGTAGCATTACTGACTTTATCTCCAAATAATCTCTAATCTAACTAAACTGTTAATTCGTTGCCGCCTGTCTGATTGTCTGCTTGTGTTTGTTGCCCCAGTAAATCTTTTTATAGCAACTCGTCTTTTTCCTGAAATCTCAGTAATGAACTTGGTCAGTACGATGTTGTCATAATCAATGAAACAGACCTGTGAATATTAAACCTAACTTCTCCTTTGAGGCGCCGGATTGACCGGTTGACCCACCATACTTCTGCAGTATTAACTGCTGCAGCCTTGGAGAATCTGTGAGGGATTTAATAAAGGCATTCCTGTATGTAGACAGTCAGCTGCCCTGAGAGCTCTGGACTCTGCAGTATTTCCTCCTTTCAGATCAGTTTGTTTGTTCGGGTAAGATCAACGGCACTTTACTCCTTTACAGTGTTCATCGACTCGTCTCTTTACGCATCTTTAACGGACTCTGTAACGTCGGTCCAACCTGAGGGCGACATTGAAACGAAGGGACGGGGTTAAGGATTCAGGCGAAGCCCCGAATGCACAGAGGAAAGAAACTGACATGACTGAACGTTAACAACTGTGGTTCAGTTCAGTGGAAGGGAAAACTTCATCCAACCAACAACGGGAAATTACCCCAAAACACAAGGGATTATGGGTAGAAGCAAAGGGATGCAGTAACTTGTGGGTGGGAAGCTGAGCGGAACAAAATGAAGCTCATATATTCAGGTGCTTCTTCATGCATTCAATAAAAGCAGATTTGTTTCAGAATCATCTCAGAAAGTTAAAAACAAAACGCTGGAAACTTAAAGTTAAATCATTTTTCATCATTTCATTTCATGTACGGCTGAGATGTGAAAGAAGAACGGACGTCGAACGCTTGAAAGGACAAAACATCCTTGTGTGTGTGTGTGTGTGTGTGTGTGTGTGTGTGTGAAAATGACCGTTATTCAGGTTTTTTCCGTCGTCTTCTTCCACTCCTCTTCCTCGCTCGAGGCCGGCTGCAGCCCCCGGGACAGACATTCCTCTGCACTTTGGTATGCATGCGTGAACGTGTTCAGTGAGTTCTGGCCCCCGAAGTTCAGCGGCTCACATCAGGGATCAGATCACCCTTCAGGCCGCGAGACGCATTTCATTTGCTTGTATGGGAGGCCGAGTGGAAGGAATACGGAGGAGACTGTGAAGAGGCTGTTCAGCTGGATAGGGCAAATATTGTGACACGACCCGGGCTCCAGGGGCAGATTTCAGGGGATTCCCACAGGATGGGGACAGTTTCAAAACTGGAGACCAGACTGCAGCAGTATTCAGTTAGTTGGAATCTGCAGCTTCACCACTAGATGGCACTAAATCCTACAAACTGGTCCTTTAAAAGCGGACTAAAAGCAACAAGCTTGGAGAAACTCGCTAGCCAAAACACATTAGAGCTACAAATGGCCCATAATGCAACACTCTTCGTGTAACAGGCGTTCTCTGTAACGGAGGGCCCAGAACATCTGCTCCTTATATTCAGGCTAAAAAGTATTTTGTCACTTACGATGTTAAAGCTAATTTCTGCCGATGTGACGAAAAAATCAAAGGAATCTGTAAGTTATTGTAACTATAAACTTTCTGACCTAATATCCAAAAATAATGACTTAATGTCAAAATAATGTCTTAATATCTCAAAATAATGACTTAATATTTCAAAATAATGACTTTAAGATACACAATCCTTTTTGTTTCCATACACACACACGAGGACTCAGTAACTGTGGTTGAAGGTGGAGCAGCTCTACTTACAACGCACATTAACACGGCGTTAATTAAAAGTCATTATTCTGGTGTCAGTGACCTTTCATCAGCCTGGAGGACTGAAGGAGACATTTGTCCTCCCTTTCGCCTCCTGGACGTGTTGAGTGCCGTTGAGTGTTTATAGTTTGTTGCCCGCACTGACACACGTGCTGACCGCCGGCGCCGAACGTGTTGATGTTTATCACGATAATGGGACAGATTTCATTTCCCTTTCATACGCGGCCCACAGCAGCATATGTAAAACAGAGACGGGATTATTCTGGACTGACTGAAGACCAGCGACGCAGAAGAAGATGGAGGAGCAATGAGCTGGAAGACTCCTCTTCATCATCATCTTCATCAACTCCTTTTATTGTCCTCCTTCTCTTCTTTGTGAGTCTCTTCTGTTTGAATCTGTTTCTCCCTTTTTTATTCCATTTTCCTCATCAATCCTTTCCTTCTTCTATCCTCCATCCTCTCGTCTTCCTCTTCCTGTCCTCCATCCTCTCGTCCTCCTCTCGTCTTCCTCTTCCTGTCCTCTCTCCTCCATCCTCCTCTCCATCCTCTCGTCTTCTTCCCTGTTCTCAGTTTGTTGACAGACCTTCAGAGACAAAACCAAAAAGACAGAAACAGACGCTGTCATGTTTTCTCCTCCTCCTCCTCCTC